GCAGCAGGGCCCTGGTTCGAATCCCATATGAGGGCCAGTGATGCTGCGCCCTCTACAGCTAAGATGGTGAACAACAGCACAACTGGAGCTGGGCTGCCGTGAGTCGCCGGCAATGGCATAGGCTGCAGTGGGGCCGGCTGGCAGTGGGTGTGAGCTTTCGTGAGCTGCTGTGAGCCGCCATGAGCAGCCATCCAATGGCCAGCGACCAATTTGCCTCACCCGGGAAGAGCGCAATGATCACAATACCAACATGGGCCAGTGAAGCGATGTCCTCCACAACAAAAGCACAGCAACTTGTCTGTTCTCCTTCCCCGATTCCCCATCACTGTTCCCCTCCCCCAATTCCCCAATAAAATCTTTTAAAAAAAAAATTTCTGTAGCAAACTTAGATATTCCTGTTATTAGATAGAATCATAAATTTTTAGCCAGATGTCAGTTCTGCCTATGTTGATCTATTGTATATTTAATGCTATCTTGAAAATGCTACTGTCAAACTTTACAAGTAATGAAAGACCTACCAAAGGTCTCAGAAAATAAGCAGGCAAGCATATGCAGGAAAATTTCGAAACACCATGGTCATAAGGGAATAGCTCTTGCATCTTTTTATCATAAAACGAATTCAATTGATGAGAAAGTAGACTTTTAAGTCTGTGAGAAAGAGACACACCATTTAATATAAAAGATACTAGAATTTATTTGGGGGAAAGATAGAGGTCTATTTTAAAATACCTCTTGAATGGATCAAAGATTTAGAAGTAGGGCCGGCCGAGTGGCGCGATGGTTAAGAACTGGCTTGGGACGCCAGAGGGCCCCGGTTCAGATCCCACATATGAGGGCCAGTGACACTNCTTTCCCTCTAGATCTAATTTTAATTAGTTCCCTTTAAGACTTTACTTAGTTCCAATTAAGATTAACTTTAATTAGTTCCATAAATAAATTGCAATAATTGGGAGGAGAAAACTTTTCTTAAGCCTGATATCAAAAAATCTGAACACATATTGAAGTTTGATGTGATTATCGATTTTACAAAAGGAGTCTCTTTTTACAAATGGAGTCACCATAGAAATTCTTAAAACGCGTCCTCTTAGTTTTAAAAAAAACGCAGTTAACATATAGCTCTGCAGTGTTAGTTCTTTTGCAAAAATTTTTAGTAAAAACAGGGAGGAATTAAATAGTTTTCTATTAATCAGTGACTCAAGGATTTTCACAAAGATCTTTCTAAATATACAACAGATGTTTTCAACCTCAATTCTCCCCCTTCTTGCTGTGCCCCTTCTAATTGGCAGATTTAATTGATTTTGTGGTACCACTTGTCATTGGTGAATCACTGGGATGCATTAGGCACTTCGGGGGGCACTTCAGTCCTGGCTGAGGGCAGGGGCCCCTAGGCTCGAGTGAAAGAGTAATTTACAGTCTTCTGGTCATGGCTTAGGGACCTGTGCCCAGCAGCTGATGGCGCCAGTTAGGACATCATCCTCCACTACTGGTGTGTCCTCAGGAATGCCAGCAAGGGGAAATGGGGGGGGGGGTACGAGCATGGTGTCACCCAGAGGTGTCACCCTAAGTGACACCATCACTTCATTTAGTAGCCAATCGAGCTGGCTGAACCTTTCCACCAGGCCCTCTTTGTGAATAAATGCTTTCTCCTCTCTTGCAGGAATGCAGTGGAGGAAGGCAAGGGGATTTTTCATAACATCAAAAACTTTGTCCGATTTCAGCTGAGCACGTAAGTCAAGGCTAGCCTCTCCCAGGGCTGCCAAGTGCAGCGTCTGCATCGGGCAAGCAGCTGTTGACAGCGCCCTCTGCCTGCCACTTGTGCCCTGTAGGAGCATCTCCGCCTTGAGCCTCATCACTCTGTCTACTATGTGCAACCTGCCCAACCCCCTCAATGCCATGCAGATCCTGTGGATCAACATCATCATGGATGGCCCACCGGCGCAGAGGTGAGGTCCTGGGCTGGAGCACTGCACCACTTCTGCCAGGCTCCACTGACTGCACCCCTACTCTGTGCAGGGGCCTGGGGCTACAGAGGTGGGCAAACATGGTCACTGGCGGTAAGGAGTCCCAGAAAACTTAAGTGGGGTACAATAGGGAGAGAGTGCAAAGCACTAGGCACAGAGGGAAGCACCTAGGCAGGCAGGGCGGGGATTGATGGAGCTTGCTGCCCCGTCTGCTGGGAATGCTTTCACTGGGCTAGCTGCATGGCCCAATACCTCTGTTCATTCAGGTCACCGCCTTCAAGAAGTCCTCCCTGATTTAACTGCAGCCTCCTCACTCTCAGTCACCTTACTCTGCTTTAGTTTTCCCTAGAAGGGAAAATGTACATTTCCTTGTTTATCTGATTATAATCCATCTCCCCTTTAGAATGTCAGCTTCACAGAGGCTAGGTTTTTTTTATTTGTTCCCTGCAGTATCCCAGCTCCTACAACGGTGCTTGTCAGATAGTAGGTGCTCAGTAAATTCTTGGCTCAATGGTGTAGGAGAAAGAATGAGCTTTGGAGTCAGGAAGACCAAAGCAAGCAAGGCATTTCCCTGCTTGAGCACATAGTAGATATTGGTTCAGAT